GGGGGGGGGGGCAGACAGACAGATTATCAGACAGAGAAACTGAAAGTGACAGATAAATGGGCAGGCGAATGGACGGACACAAGTTTTTTACACACTGTTACTGTTATATACTATACATTATCGTCTCCAAAACTTGTCATCGTATGGCATAACATAACATAGGTACCAAGTAAAGCCATCTTTTAACACTAAGGCTAGGTCTCAAATGTAAAGTTTGTGTCTCCGATTGAATCAGGCTAAGTAGGTCAGGATCAAGGTATGAACAATCCCCAAACAAAAAAAAGGGCAGAAGTACATGTAATGTAGCTAGTTGAGAATTCCAACAAGAATCGACGGCACTATACAGTTTAACGGTATAGTTACCTTACATTGATACCATGAAATCGGTGTCTGTTCGGCATTTCGTCATCGCACGTAGAAGAACTGAATTTGATTCCCGTGTGGGGAGAATTTTTGTTGAGTATCTTGGTCTGTCTGCTGGGACGTTTTGTACCCGTCTCGGGCCCGGGTTGGCTCTGACAGACAGGGTCCAAGCCCGCCTCCTAAATTATCTAAAATGTGTCAATGGGGGTGTAAAAAACACACTTACATTGGTTTTTTTTAATTTTTAAGACAGAGATAGATATCAACAACGATGCCCGTGTCTCAAACGGAAGTGTCAAGTTAGTGTCAACCATTTTGTGACTCAGCCAAATACAAAGTTTCAGCAAGGTTAACTTATCATCGCCAATAACCTGAAAACCCCCAAACAAAACGAACCAATTGAACAAGCCAATTAAACAAACACATTTCAAAACAATAAAAACCTTTTGTGATATTGATGAAGACACAATAAAAGTAGAGATTTATTTTTGGAACATTCAATCAAACACGCTGTGCAACTAACTTTCATTTACTTCCAGAGCACTCATGAAATTATCCCAATAAATATCAGAGGTTTTAAATTCTGAATACGAACAAACAAACAGGCCGAATCAATTGTCTTACAAGAAAGAATCTCAATTTAGTTGAAAGATTGCTTATGAGACTCAAGCTTACTCGTAAATAACGTACAGACATAATAATTATGTGAAAAGACGGGTGTGAAATTAATTTAATCTATGAGTAAGAGATTCTGTAGTCTTGGAAGGAGTGAATAACCGTCAACTTTTGAATTGAAAGGGTACAATAGAAGTAAAATAAACTTTTTCGGTATTTTCGATTATTTTTTATGAGTAAGGAGTAGGCCTAGATATATCTAGATTTATTTTAGGTGCACAACTGGGGGAATAGATCAGTTTTTTAAAATAAAAGGTGAAAGGCATTCGATCTTTGAGTCTTCTCAGGGTACGATCCCCCCCCCCCTCCCAAACCCCCAAG